AAAAGTAATTCTGTCTGAGACAGCCAAATTTTTTTTCTGGATTTCCCAGGACTGCACAATAATTCAGCAGCAATTTAATCATGCTATAAATGATACGGGGTGGAGCATGTGAGGTGCTAGAACTGAAAGTAGGACCATTATAGCTGGTCCCCAAATCCTATCAGAGAATCAACCAGAATTTGGAGCAGAATTTGTTGTTGAAATTTGTAAAAAGGGATAACATTGTTTTATCATACCTTTTTTAAAAAGGAAAAAAGCAGGTAGACCCAAAAGCAAATTTCAACTGGTATCATCTTACATCTACAGATTTCAAGATACGAGTTTTGGATAATACTTGATAAAAATGTTATGTGTATGACACCTTTCTTTTCTTGTGATAAATTTGTACCAGAAATTTTGGGTCTTCCAAATCAAGGCAAAGCTAATATGGACATTATTTTAATTACTGTGTATTTTAAAAATCCTACAACATGGTTTTGTATAGTGTGGTTTCCTTTAGAAAGATTGCTGAAACATAATTAGTGTCTGGTAAGCATGGCACGCGTATGAGTATTTTTTTTTTTTGTCACAAGACATCAAAAATGTGAAAAAAATCCCAAGAATTAGTCCATAGTATTGTATTCTTAAATATTCTTTTTTGCTGTTCGTATTTGGTGCACAGACATCTTAAGTCAGAAGTAAGAATAAATATTTTTTTTCTAAAGTTTAAAGAAAAATTCCATCCATCGTTTAATGACAAATATCTCTGAACTGAAATAGGTAATGAAATTATCTTCCATTTGCTTGAAAGAATGACCAAAATATTGTGGTACTAAACTATTAGCAATGTCTATATTTTTAATCAAAAGGGAAGAAGTGTATTGATTAGATATAAAATGATTAAGAAGCAGACTTGGAATAGGTTGTTCAGCCCATTCTTGTTGTCCTATCATGAATGAAGGAGAGTTCAGTAATGGTTTAACTACAATTAAATCCCTCCCCCTTCTTTATGGAAACTCAACTGTAGGCATTTCAGCATTAGCCTAAACAATGGTTTTGAATATGTTAAGCCCTTAACAATTAGGGAGCAGTTTGGGGCATTGAATAATGTCCAGTGATGCAATTGAACCTGACAGCTTCAATAGTCAGCCTACTCATGGGACCTGAAAGTTGTTCACACTTGGTTTCATCTCTCATCACACGCTGAGTATTAAAACCTTACTGGTGTTGAGCTCAGACAGAAATGAGGCCTGTTATCAGAAAATATTTCATGGCATAAAACTTGAAAGAAAAAGGGGAATGTGCGCACTCATGGGTTCTCAGATTATCAAGACCTTTCTGATAGAAATTTTATATAGCTAACTAATTCCTTGTATTCCCTTTGATTGCTTTCTATGTAACTTTTTTTAGGCAAGAAACTTCTTTTTTTCCCTGAAAAATTAAAGTAATGTCCATTACTGAAAGCTAATACTTTTTGTTAATTTCAGAAACTTTTATTATTCCTAAAATATATTCATTTATATGTAAAGTAATATTTTTGTACATTGCTCCCAAGAAACATCGGTGTTGTTGATATATTAAAAATATTTTACAGGATATTTATATAACTTATTGAATTCAGTTGATCTGTACAAATAAATTTAAATCTTAATTAAAATATATATGCCTTTCCTTTGCAATATATGAGAAATACATTAGAGACCAATTGGAATCATCATTTCATCTTATAATAAGCTATTCCTTCGTCTTAAGGACATTTGCTCCTTTATTGAATTTTCCATAAATAAAATCAAAATATAACATGTCTCTAATTAGGCTTAAATCTATTAGTTAAAATAATTTTGCATAAGAGTTGTTTTTTGAAAATTAAAAAATAAAGATTTAATTAAATATAAATATGAAAATTGTATACATTTTAGCCATGTGTTGCAAGTTGACTGTTAAATGGAATCAACTGATATAAAGAATACTACAGCTTTAAAAGTGTTGCATTTTAGCGCTTCTTTCAGTCCTATGACCTTAATATGTATTGACAGGATGATTGTGCGTTTTTAATAAATGCATGCTACAGCCTGTTTCAACTGAGTGAAATGTGAAGCGCCTTTTTCACCTTTAAATAATGCATTACTCTAATACCTTCCTTACTTTCCTGTCAGATGAAGTCGTTACACACATAGTAGTACTTCAAATCTATATTTGTGACATTTTCCTTCCTCATAAAAAGAATATCGTTCAAAAGTTTTACTGCCACTATTTGAGTAGTTTTTCTTGAGGAGTTACATAAGCTGTGTGATGTCACTAGGAATTCTGTAGTTCTAGCTTACATCACAGGAAGTCTTTAAAACATTTTTACTTTGTAAACAAAGATTTAAATGTACTCAGTGAAACACCGTTTGTGAAAAACCTGACTCTTAAATATTGTTCAAATCATATGAAGCCTTTTGATCTAGTATATTAGCCCACATAGCAAACATTTAATTTCTTTGATGTCTGTTGTTTTGAGCGCTGATAGCTTCTCAACAGAGACTTGCTCTTCTTTTCAAAATGTGTAGTGTAGATCATGGTAACTAATTTCATCCAGTTTTTCTTAATTTTAACCTACTAAACATGTTTTGTTTCTGCTGATTAGGGCGATTCTGCCACAATTATACATTTATTGAAATTTTAAACATACTATTTTATTTTAGTTTTATTAATCTTGCTGTGAATTAAATAGCAGAATTAGAATAACTGGAAGGCAGCAGCACGCTCCCAGTCTCTGCAATAGAGTGAGTAGTGTAGCCTTTTGACTTGATTTTAAAAAAACTTCTTGAAATGCTAGAACTGTGAACTCTCCAGAATTAAATATTAATAAAATATAGTTTACATGTGTTGGATAGAAATATACTAATACAATCTATATCTGCATCATTTACACTTAAATCTGGAATATACAATGTTTTTTACCTTGTTGGTTTTGCCTTTTTTAAAATATAGGAGCAAATAATCCCTTTATTGGATATATTTTCTGTTTGTTAAAGTTTTCTTCAGCTAAAGTGTTTACCAGAAATTTGTCGTTCTTATTTGCATGAAAGGAAAAATGAAAAGTTACTAACAAATAATGCTAGTCTATTTGAAGTCATGCTATAGGTTTTTATTGAGGAAAACAATGTACTGACTCTCCATCACAGTGTGTCACTGAATTTAGTGGAAATTAATCTACTACATTTCAGGGACATATTGGCACAAACAGGTAAGTGAAAAGAAATAGTATTTTCAAAGGCTTATAACTTTTCCAGAGTTATTCTAATGGAAATATAATATAATTCTACGAAACCTGAAATAAGGGCCAGATTCTTCATACTTCATAAACCTGTGAGCATTTGTGACTTACGTTCTTATTAAACATCTATTAAAATGACAATTGAAACAGTACATTGTCTTACACAATTTCTTGTTCCCACATTTTATGTTTGTTTGTTTGTTCTAAAATTGTTCTAAAATTGTCCTCAGTAGAAAAACTTGAATAGAAGTACTGGCCACAATTTCTCACTTAGTATATAGTAAAGACAACATCATTGAAAACAGTTGTGTGAATTTGTAAAAGTCCATTCATCAAGTTTAATAAGTTGGCTAAAAGCCAAACCTTAATGGCAGTGTATGATTCTTTCCAGAGACATAGTTTATACTGTGTAATATTTTTCTTGTAATAACCAGTATGTGTCTCTTGTCTCTTGTGTGCTGTTATATATGTCAAAATGTCCTGCAACTTGACTTCCCTGCTGTTCACCTTCTTTTTTACATCTTAAAATAAGCATTCATTTCTCATAAAAAGCTCATTTGCATATTCTTATTCAGGATCATACTAAGATTATTGTTTATGTAATCTCACAGGTTATGAATCTGTTTTTCTGTAAACACAAAAGCATAGCCATAAAACTTTTATTTATTTTGAAAATGCGTATTTTATCATGTTAATATATATAAACTTGTCTCAGCATCAACAGCATTGTTTTTGCATGTGATAGTACACTTACAAAATTCAGTATTAAGGAAGATCTGTTCTTCGAAAGAGAGAAAGTATAAACAGCCAAGGGAGGAAGGTATTTTTATTGCATTGGATTATGCAAGTTTTTGGCCAGCCTCCTTAGCTTCATCTGTTTAAGGGTTCATTTTCGCTTGTTTGGCACAAGTCCCAGCAAAGACTTTCAGAATTGTGGTTAGCAACATGAATGAATACAAACTTTTGACGAGCTCTTCAGTAAGTAGAGCTGGCCAGCTGCCAAAAATACAGTTCCTTATATGGGGTCAGGGCAAAACTGTGATTCGTTGAGCCCTGTATTGTATAGAAAACATACTTGTAATGGCTGTTTGCTTTCTTTAAAATAAAAACAAAACAAAACAAAAAAACACCAGGCTTCCAAGCCTATCAAAATAGGAAGTAACAAAATAGTGTGCAGGTTTTACTAATGACAGAGTAGAGCAAAGGAAATATGGCTCTGTGTAGTTAAACTATAGAGCTGGAAGTTAGACCTTTTGACCTCCACAGCCTGCTTGTGATGTAAGGAACCCAAGCATTTGTGAGACATCTGTTGTCTACCTGCCCTTATTTTGTAAATGGTTTAATAAGATTAAATAATTAGTAGGATAACCACATGGTCACCATGCTACTAAGTCCTGGCATTGACTGCATACTTAGGAATTGTAAGCAAGTCTGCACATCCTACTTGTATGCTAGTCATTTAAAAGTTGAAATTCAAAATTTTCTAACAATTCATATAGTACATTTGTTCTTGCTTAATGTATGTGCCAGAGTAAATAGCAATTTACACTCTAATACATTTAGAAAGTATTGCAATTATATTTCTTTATTCCCAAATCTTGATTGAAAATCATTAATTATTTTTTAAATGTACAGTAATGTCTCAGTATTTTGCATGCTAGTAATTAATTTTAATTCATGAGGAAGGTGTCCTTAAAATAAATTAAGGATTTTTCTCCCAGAATATTTAAAGATGGTAGTTTTAATTGTACTCTTACAGGCAAATACTCTACCTGGATCTTCCCTCAGTTTGCCTCCATCCCACATGTATGGCAATAGGCTGAATCCTAAATCAGCAATGGCAGCACTTATAGCTCAGTCTGAAAACAGTCAAGCAGGTAAGCTTGATAGAATTGTTCAAAGCATCTGCTTTCCTGATTTTAACTATTTAAAAAAATATGACCACTAAGTTTGTGAAATCTTGGCTGGGGATTTGGTTCCTAAATGACACATGATTCTTGCATGCTGGAAGTAAATTCTTTTTGTTAGTGCAAAATGGCTATGCATTTTTTACTGTCTGAAATGTAAATGTTTAAGCAGAGCACTCAGCAGGCAGGA